ATATCCAGCCAATTTTAAAGGGTTAAAAGTCTCAGTCATGCCAAGGTAACTGTCAAGTTTCAAATTCAGCGTCAGACTTAGCAGATACACACATGTAGGTGACCAATGCAGTCACGGAACATCAGGTGACGCTTAGACTAGAATGTCACGCAGCTGAGCCGAGAATATGCCTCGGTGAGCAAGCAAAATAAAGGTAAGGCATTGACATGCAAGATGCTAAGATATTTCGAACCTAGCAAGCGCAGCTTGCATAGCGCAACACGCAAAAAGCTTAGAGGACCTAAGATGCAGGTTTCTAGGAAAACCGGATAAGTATCATAATCCCACAAAAAACACTAGCGCCAACTAAAAACCATGTGTTGGTATCTGTGGCGCAACCTAGGTTAGCGCTGCAACGCCTATGCAAAATAACTTGCAATACAAAGCTTGGGCACTGAGCTTTAAAAGCACACCTGGCGTACGAGAGAACACACGTTTTGTTTAATGCTGGAAGCATTTCAGCCGTCTTTACCTCCTCAATCTGCCCCAAGGCTATCTCTGAAAAAGACCCTTGCCTATGGGCTCATAATGCTGTGACTTGTCCAGGTATGCCGCGGTGACGTAACGGCGGGGATGCCAGATAAACTTCGAGGGACCCTGTGTATGCGCGATGGATTTTGAGCTTAAAATCTGTGGTATTTGCACGTATTTTCTAACATTTTTATCCTTAGATATACAGTAAATCATAATCATGGAAGCCAGTTACTTTCTGCATAGTCCCCGAAATGCTGACAACCTGTTGAAGTTGTAGCTTTCTGTTTCCAAGGAAGCTTGAAAAATCGAATAGAGTGGGCTGGCGGTTTTTAATTGAACTAAGAACAATTGTTTTCACAAATGTTTGTAGCCGAAATATCAACATCTCCCCTTTCATCTCAGTTATTCAACGAATAATAACGAAGTAGGTACTACTTTTATGCATGCATAATTTTTTTTAGCAGCTGCACTACACAACTTGGAAGTATACACGCATTTATCTTTCACCATGCGACATAAAGAATAAATAACGCTAGGTAGACATTTAGGACCGGTTCAAGCCTGCTGAAGCTAATCAAAATCGTACACGCCTTGAAGCATTCAGTGCCAGTATTTTGTCAACCTGGTTCTTGTATGCGGCTTATTTGTGGGATTACGAATAGCTAGTAACATGGCACACTTACGATTTGTGGTCATTGCGGTAATTGCTAAACTGCCATTTCCTACGGTTTAAAGAACAGATCCAGAACGCATCATCCATCTCTGACCAACGTTCTTTCGCATTTAAGGTCTTCTCTCTTTCTGTTCGTGCCGTGAAGTGGTGAAATATTGCAAATTTAATTATGCAAGCGAGCGTAACGCCAGCAATAATTTGGCATTGCGGTGTGCCGCCGTACCTGCTGTAAGTCAGCGTTTATGACGGGAGGGTCCCGGCAGCGGTGGGCAGGCGCTGACCGTACATCCCGCATCGGCCGATGAAATAGCGGCCCGGTTTTATCGTGTGCAGGGAGGCCGGCGGCGACTGTACGCCCGCTGCAGCCGGGCGCGGCACAGCAGGGTCACGGTCTCCACATCCCAGGCAGTCGGCCTCATCATCCCCGTCAGTCGGTTTCATCATCCCCGGCAGGTGGTCTCAACACCCTCGTAAGTTGGCCTGAACAGACTTCGGCAGCTGGCTTGAACATCTCCGGCAGTTGGCATGAACAACTCCCGATAGTCGGCGCGCACATCGCCGGCAGTTAGTCCGGTCTGAACATTATCCAGCAGTTGGTCCCAGCATCTCCCAGCCGCAAGTCTGGTCTGATTATTCCGGGCAGTCGGCCTCAACATTCCCCGGCAGTCGGTGTGGTCTGAACATTATCCGGCAGTTGGTCCCAGCATCTCCCAGCCGCCAGTATGCTCTGATTATTCCGGCAGTTGGCCTCAACATTGCCGGCAGTCGGTCTGGTCTGATTATTCCCGGCAGCCGGTCTGAACATCTGTCAGCAGCAGCTTTTGCTGACAGATTCTGCCCTCGATCTGGAATTTTACGATCGGATGGCGGAGACCAGGGCTCACACAGGGACTGCTGAGCATGGGCTCTGACCCTAGAAATCCATCCATCTGAAAAGCTCGGAAGGAATTTGTATGCAAAAAAAGAGGTGTTCATGACAGCTCGAAGAGGCTTGAAAGTCACGAATTGGTATAACCGTTAAAGAACGAACCATTAAAGCCGACAAAGAACGAACCGTTAAGGAAAGTACTCGGAAGTGACCTGTGGTGGGGGCGTATAGTACGCAAAGTAACAATGCGTACGAGTAGTCGGCAAGGTGTGTAAAAAGTGTGCAAAAGTATATAAAACATAGTTTGCTCTGGCCTTGTCTCGTCTCGTCTTCACGTTTGCTAGTCCAGGCACGGGCCGCAAGAGCACTCTTCCCGGGCTAAGCGAGGGCAAAGACTCTCTCAGCCTCCCGCACTTCGTGTGTCCCTGCCTGGCGGCTGACTGGAACTACTGAGCAGCTGGAGGGTCATCGTATGCATGGCTTCCGACGGCTGGAGTCAGTCTGAGCTCCGACGGCTGGAGTCAGTCTGAGCTCCGACGGCTGGAGTCAGTCTGAGCTCCGACGGCTGGAGCCAGTCTGAAATCCGACGGCTGGAGCCAGTCTGAACTCCGACGGCTGGAGCCAGTCTGAACTCCGACGGCTGGAGCCAGTCTGAACTTGCCCGTCAACTGAAGTTGACATGAACGACTCCGGACACATGAGGCCAGGCAGCGCGTTCCTCGACAATGACAGTGGGCATGGAAGGAGCTCGACTGATGGAGTCGACATAAACGTCCCCCGGCAACTGCAGTTGCTGGCGCAGCAGGAGAACACTGTTAACCTACCGACAAGCAACGTCCACATGCCATCGGGAGTGCATCAATGGGCTCCTAGCCCCTCAGTCCTAGTTATTTAGTTTCTGCCAGTTGCTCAACTACACAGCCCATTGGACCATTATGTATGGCATACGGGTAGATACATTTTCTGTCACACACATAATTCTTTAATTGGACTTTGCATGTCCAAGGATCCGAGAAACCAATTCAGTGCGTTGTCCAGAACCGGTCCAGTTGGGTCGTTTCTTTGATAACACTTAGCCTTGGGTTAACGATGCGTGCACCAATGTCGCGATAATTGCAGATTATGAAAGATGTACGTGCAAGTGGGCAGCATAATGCATTTTACGCGCGGATTGAGTGAAGGACTTTAACACGCACTCGGATGGGGTCAACTTGATCGCCCAAAGGTTTCTCCGGAATGGTTTCCGAACGGTGCAGCGTAGCCGTGCCAAATTTTGCATACCTGTAGACAGCTGAGAAGCAAATAGTTTTGAATAAGAAATTTCGATGCACCTAGTCGCCAACCTTTGGCGTCGAAGTCAGCCCATGGATTCAGGGAAGTCATTTTCTAGAAATCTCTCAATCTGATGCAACAACGGAATGTGAGACGAAGCCATACATCTCTGAGATATTATATTAGGCAACAATGTAATTAAGTGAGCAAATTCCATTGACCGAGGGTCAGGTATGAAGGTCAGACCAAGGTCAAAATCAACCTGTTTTACTACTCTAGAGCTGTATGGGGTGCTTCCTGGTGCTCATGTCGAATTTATTGATAACTGGCACCCCATTATGCATTTTCCATTGACTTTTCAGATGTCATAATAGGTCACTGACCTAGAATGACCGGGGTCAACATTTTGAACTAGGACCATACCGCCTAGCGTAGTCTTTGTCGCATTTTCTAATGCAAAACTCAAAACAGTCTTGCATTATTTTGGTAACCATGCCTTCAAAAGGTCCAACAAGGTCACTTTTCTGGTGCTCATTTCGAATTCATTGCTAAAAGAAACGCATTATGCATTTTCCATGGACTTCCTAAAGGCCATAATAAGTCAATGACCTAAAATGGCCCAGTCAACATTTTGTTTTAGGAACATACTGCCTGACGTAATCGTTGTCACCTATTCAAATGTAAAACTAAAAAAAAGTTTCGCATGATTTTGGTCCCCATGACCTCCGAAAGGTAAAACAAGGTCACTTTTCTGGTGATCATTTCAAATTTATTGATAATAGGAGCCCCAGTATACATCTCCCATGAACTTTTAAAAGGCCATCATAGACCACTGACCTAAAATGACCCAGCCAACATTTTTGTTTTAAGACACACTTCTAAGCGTAATATTTGCCGCTTATTCCGACGCAAAACTCAAAACACTCTTATATAATTCTGGTCACCATGGCCCTCGGAAGGTCCAACTTTAGCAGTCCCGAGTTTAAACTGTTATTGACATATCACACAAGTGGGGAGGCAATTGGAAAACTGATGCACTGGGTTCGACAGCACATTGCCACTTACGTAAAGGAATGCATATATACTCCTTTTCGCTTATGCAATAAGCGACAAAGATTACTGCTTAGCGTAATCTTTGTCGTTTATTCAACTGCAAACCTCAAAGTAGTCTTGTAATGATTTTGGTCACCAAGACCTCCGAAGGGTCAAACAAGGTCAATGACCACGTACCATTTTGCTTAAACAGGTAGTTAGTTTCTGGAGGCACTTAAAACACCAACTTGGGAGTTTGACCTTGCTTGACCTGACCCAAAGGCCATAACACAGGAACGTCAAATTCAGACTAAATCGAGTTCACGTAAAGGTCAATACACCCTGAGAATTTTGTGGCTCTGGCTCTCCTAGTTTCTGAGATCTCAGCTGGCTCAATTGGACCCCTACCCGAGCGAAGGGTATCCAGCCGGCTTCCCCAGAGAAAGGTATCCAGCCGGCCACCCGGGCACGTGTTAATGGACGCCAAGACTGCGCGACGACAAGTGCGGTGTTGCACACCTATGAACTGCAACGATTAAGTGTAGCGGTGGAGTGTAACGGCGGAGTGTAACTGGTGGAGTGTAAGGGTGGAGCAACAGAACAGAACACCCTTTGGGCGATATGCTGATGAAAAGAAACAAAACCAATCCGCACGTATATGTACACGTTTGTTAGAACACTCAAATATTATCACATTACAATGACCTGACAAAGCTGCTTGCCAGCATAACGTTTTGATATGGTGTCATAAACAATGCGTGAATGAATACAATGTATCACGTGAACGCGTTGAGCACGGGGAGAACGCTCAGCCACGAGCGTGTTTCTCAGGGGAGAACAGGGGAGAACGCTCAGACACGAGCGTGTTTCTCGCTCCCGTCGACCGCACCCGCGGCAGCCCTGGCGCGCGGACGCCGCGCCGCTGACAACTGGCGCCACTCTCGACGGGGTCCACCAGTTGGTGGGGATGGGAAGCTCCGTCAGCGCCTCTCTGAAACAAACCAACGACAGGGCGTCAGCAAAACTCTCCGGAACAGAGCAGGCTCGTGCACGCTATGAGGGCGTCGCACATCATGCTTCTCATTGACATGGTGCGCAGGCATTAAATATGTCGAGGGTTACCGTGCTTCTCAAAATATGTCACACGTATAATAGGCTGAAGCAAATATCGACGAGGTGAACTATGACGAACGAGTGTACACGAGCATCCCAGCCCTCAATAAAAGCTGGCTACATTTCGAAGTTAGACAATCAAGGTTTCCAAAATCATAGGCCACCAATGTGGTATAGCAGGGTTCAACGTGTAACGTTAAATGCGGCCTGTTTCCACACAGAGCCGGGACGATTTTTTTCTGTGACACAGGTTTCCTGCTACGACAAATATTCTGCTAGGCATATTCCTTTCCATCGGTGGTCACCACGCTCCACACTGGACTGGTCGCCACCAGACACGTTTCTCGGCTGGCACCACCGACAGCAGACAGATGTGCGGTCGAGTCGCACTGTACATACATGCTGATCCCTGGACATGTCTGGGCTTGCAGGCCATAATCAAAATGGTTGACTGCAGTGGGGTGACTGCATAACAAGCGGGATCAGAATCCATGCAATACGTGATAAACGGATACTGTATAGCGTGGACCCCAATCTGAAAGCCACACTCGCAAATATTTAAACAACCGATAGTTTTTTCCAGGATGGGTGGATAAGCGGGCATTTTTAGCGGGCGTTTTTGCTTTATACATCTGGCGACTCGGTATGCACATGGGCCTCGGCCGAGATGGTAGTTAAGATCGACGGGGATGACGACATAAATCATAGAGCCAACCGAGCGTGGCGTCCGGCCGGGCGGCAGAGACAAATAGTGTCGGCGTGCAGCCAGGGTCAAGCGGCGTCCAATGCGCGCCGCACCGCGCCGCGCCGGTCCGGCCGGCGGGGGGGGGGAGGGGAGGAGGCCGAGGCAGGAGCGGCCGCGAGCCAGCGCAGGGCCAGCGTCTCGAGCAGCGGAGCGGGACGAGGAGTGACGCAGGCATGTGTCAAGACGTGTAGCGCATGAGCTTTGCCGCGCCGGGATTGGCTTCCTGGGGGGGGGGGGGGGGGGGGGGCAGGGCGTCCCGCGGCCGATGTCTGCTCACCTGCCGTTGGCATCCGTGACCTCTGACAGGATCGGACACACCAGTCTTCTGCACAGCGAGATCGCTTCGGCTTGCAACCAACTCCGATAAAGAATCTCCCAGCGACGCAGCACAACGGGCACCATCCGTTTGAATGGTCCTTGGCACGATGCATCACGTGCAATTACAACATGCCGCCTTTTCACAGATGAAGACAACGTGACTAGATGATGCCATCACAGCACTCGCCAGCAAACAAAAGCACAGCACTTGCCGATAAGCTCGCGAGGGGCCGCCACCACCGTCGCGACGGCCTTTCGTTTCACCTTGCCCACAGCCCTCCGTGCGGAGGAGGCGGCGTCCTGGCCGACCGGCGCCGCCGCTGCACGGCCCGGCCGGCGCCGGCCGGCGTCACACGTACTCGGAGCAGAGCGGCTGCGGCGGCGGCGGCGGCAGCCGAGGCCGGCGGCCCGGCAGGCGCGGCAGCGGCCGCCGCTCCAGGCTGCCCGCCTCCGAGCCGGACCGGTTGCCGGAGTCGGCCGAGAGTGGCGCGCTGTCGGGCTCGGTTCGAGTGCGGGCACCGTGCGGCCCGCGGGCCGCTGCCGCCGCCGCCGCCTCCGTGGCCCCGCCTGGCTCGACCGGCGCATCGAGGCCGGTGATCGGCGCCCGGACGTCGGCGGCGGCGCGGCGGCGCGGGTCGTCGCCGTCGGCGCCGGACGGCGGCGGCTGTCGGCCGGCCAGCGGCAGGCGACGGCGCACAGCGGCGGCCGGCTGCTCGGCCGGCAGCGGCTCGGCCGGCGGCCGGGGTCGACTTCGCTCGCCGGCAGACGCGTCCGAGTAGTAGGCGCTGCTCGGGTCCGAACCGGCCGACTCACCGCCGGCCGGGCCGTCCGCCAGGTAGCCGGCGTTCTCGTACGTGCCGTCGGGCAGCAGGCGGCGCGGCTCGCCGATCTCGCTGTACGTGTTGAGCAGGTAGGGCTGGCCGGCCGGCCGACTAGCCGAGTCGCTGTTCAGCTCGGCGTAGACCGCGCTCTCTTGGTCAGACGTCGCGTACGGCTCGGCCGGGCGGCCGCGCTCCGGACCGGCGGCGGCGGCTGGCGGCCGGCGCGTCGCCCGCCCCCACAGCCGCTGCCTCCAGCCGGCCGGCCGTCCGGCCCCGGCCGATTCCGGGGTGGGCGGCGGCAGCGGCGGCGGTGGCGGCGGCGGCGGCGGTGGCGACTCTTTCGGTTGGTGTGTTGTCGCCAAGGGACAGAGACCTGTGGAGGTGATGCGACAGTGTGAGCGAGGCGACGCTGGCGAACGGTGACACGGTCAGTAGAAGCCTGCCAGAAGACGGGCAGCAGAAGGGGTGGGTGTGATTCTCTAGCACCACAAAACCAGTCCCTAATCACCCCGCCATTTTGTGGTCCGAAGCTTATCGTCTTTTAATAAGGTGCTTGTATTCGTGACTGGTTCGCGCCCGGGGCCTTCACGCTACGCCTGCTCGGTTATCTGGCCTTGATCCAGGAGCCTGCCGGCCCAAACACCGGGAGTCGCGGCGGCACCGTCCGCAGACCCGCAGCACTCGGGCGACGGCCGCCGCTGCCGCAGCCGGGGGCGGCGCCTCGGCTTCAGGCCGCATCGCGATGAAGTCGTCAGCGCGCCGTCCAACCGCCGCATCGATTCGCCACGCGGGATTAGGCGGGCGCGGAGCCGTCAGGCGGCGGCGCGTGCAGCGCAGCGGTTCGGCCGCCCGTGAGCACCCAGTCGCCCGTCTGCTTGGAGGGTAGCACGCTGGACCCGCGTGAGCCCATGCTGTCTGCACAGCAGACAGCGAGCTGCGCCCCTGCGGATTCTTGATCTGGTTGCATAGGGGACAGCGTGCTGATCCAATGTGGGCCCACACACCGCCTGTACAGAGAATAGGGTGTTGGAATCGTGTGGGCCCGCATACCGCCTGTACAGAGAACAGGGTGCTGGAATGGTGTGGGTTCACACCGCCTGTTTACTGCGACAGTGAGGGGGGCCCCAGTGGACCCTTACTCTGTCTGCACACGGAACAGCCTGCGGAAGCCGTCACGGCCTTATTCTGTGTGTATAGAGGACAGCGTGCTAAGCCGTTGTGGGCCCACACTCTGCCTGTATTGGGAACATTCTAAGTCCACGTTGACTCGCACTGCGACTGGAGGACCCGGCTCTCCCGCTCTCCGGCTTGCGTACCCGGCGTGATCCGCTGCGCGAGTCATAAGTGTAAGACGAATCAATCTCATATCTGTACTGCAGCCATGCCAGCCCTCCCCGAATACGGTCCTTTTGTAGATTCGTAACGAGAACTGAGGACGCCTTCAAGTCCGGGTCGTCTGTATTACTGGCTGCATTCGAGTGAATGAGCGTCATGTGGTCCAAAGAGCTTGGCCCGACAGGGTGTCTCCAATTAAACCGCGCGCTGCACGCGAATTAACATCAAAATGGCAGAATGGACGTTAAATCAGTCGATTAACCTGCGCGGACGGGATAAGCCAGGTCGAAGTGGCGCCCAATTTAGCAGTCTGGTAGTCGGCTCTTGATATATGCGGGTATGGGCTGCGTCAAGTGGAGACCCCAGCCATGATGCTCGGACAGCGTGGCGAGTGGCCAGGGCTGGAAGCTTTCTGCCGACGCCGGTTGACCATGAACGCACATCAGACCGGACCAGAGCGAACCAGAAAACAGCACAACAGAAGATGGCAAAGCGAGACGACAAGTGATACTCGGTTTCAGTCTGCTGTGGTCAGTGGTACCACCTGAACACACAAAGCTAAGGAATTCCGCAATTCTGAACACTTGGAGATATCTTACTTTTCGACGGAAGGATGCGCCACCTGAAAAAGAAAACCCGATCAAAACTATAAACCGTACAGTCATTATACGGGACATTTTCCAGACAAATCACGTGGAGTCAGGAAGCAACACAATATTACGCATTAAAACACAAGCACTGCAAACCCTACAGTACATATGACGAGACATGGCTGCCTCCCGTGACCGAGTCTGGGCTCCACATCTCAGAATGTCCTTTGAGTCGCGTGCAGCGGGAATCCAGACTCTGCAGGACCGTCCTATATCTCTGATCAAACCTTGGACCATGCAAGACTGCCGTGGCAGCTGATGTCATGTTCTGCTTAAAATAATCTTTTGACAAATTTGCTTCTGGTTTCCAAATCCACAGCATTTTAACGCAATTTGTAGCCAGATCTTAAATCTTGGAAGCATTTAACAAAGCCCTCTGTCCGTTTTAAGTTCGTTCTGAAAAATAAACACAACTCGCCGAGGATCTATCTGTGTCCGGCTGTCACGATGGCACCTGGATAACATCGCTCATCTGATGAGCGAGGAAAAGTCAGGTTCAAACGGTGAATGGCCAAGGTCGAAGGAGATGGTTCGATTCTAGTGTGGGATTAAACTTTTCAACGCATACTGAATGCACCACTTCACCTGGCTGCAAAATAAACATAAAATGCAGCATTCCCTTGAAACTCGGCCGCTGTAAAGGCACGGGTCCACGCGGTCCATCCCAGCTGTCACGGCAAGACTACAAAAATTGACCAACCGTTTAGGAATGAGACAGTAAGAGCCAGATGACAGCATTTTCAGTCACGCTTACAGCTGCAGATACAACAAAAACGGGCAAATGCTTGCGACCGCTGCAGAGTAAATCTCTCAGGCAAACGTCCCGCGAACACAGCACGTTTCGAAACCAAATTCGCCTCAATTTACGCGCCGCGCTCAGTGAAAGTCTCAATGCCGGTCCGACTAACGTCGCTGGACAATCAGCATGAACGGGCGCCTTCCCACGGGTGGGGAACAGTGCCCCGCCACCGAACACCCTCTCCGCTGCGCGACAGATCCGGCGTCGCCGGGTGCCGACCGCCACAAGCCCACGTGAAGCGCTCGGGTGTTTCACTCCACCCCGCCACCGAACACCCTCTCCGCTGCGCGACAGATCCGGCGTCGCCTGGTGCCGACCGCCACAAGCCCACGTGAAGCGCCCGGATGTTTCACTCCACCCCGCCACTTGCTTGTTATGGCAGCTTGTTATGGCTATGAAGCCGTGCCCCTGCCTGCGGGCGTGCCAGGCGTCTAGCCCGCGGTACTCGCCAGCAGACACATCTCGAGAGCGCACGAGAGAGCCGGGTCACAGTCAGCCGTGGTGTTGAGGAGGTCGGAACAGCAGCGTGACGTCAAAGGGGGCTGGCAGGCTGCGCCAGTTGTTACCTGCGGCACCTGATGACGATCACCATGACGACGGCGCCGAGCGCGGCCGACAGCAGCGCCACCGCCACCAGGACCGGGATCCAGGAGGAGGGCGCGCCCGAGCCTGCCGGAGAAGGACTGCCGTCAGGCGCCGGTCACGCCAGCGTACCAAACTCACTGTCCTGTCATGAGGCGTGTGCGCCCGTCACGGGAGCCGCAGCTGTCGAGCGTCGGATACGGATATGTGCCAGCCGATAATCGGACACAAAGACAAACGCTGCAGTGGGAGCTGAAACGCTCATTACCAAAACTATAAAACTTAGTATGAGCCACATCTGTTGGCACGTCCGTAGTTTCTCACACACAGGGGGGGGGGGGGGGGGGTGCAAGCTGGAATGTTTGCTCTTACAGGCCTCTTCCTCTTCCCAAACTTCCCGACCGGCTGTGTCCGCTTCAACACGAAGCGGGTTGAATGCGCAGCTACAGGTGTAAGCTTCCCGCTGATGATCCTGCTTCGTTGGAAAGTCCGACGACAGAACACTTTGCCCATCAAATGATCCGGTGAAGCTTCAACCACTGGAGTTTGTTTTCCATTTCGATCTAATCAAAAACAAGACACCCGCAAAAGTCAATAAAATAGTCACGTGCCGGTGGGGAAACACAGATTCCTTTTTAAATCAATTACGGTGTATCTTATAACTCAGTTTGCCTCTGACTATGCAGAGCCATAGCAAGTTGTGATCACCAGCCTCTGCGTGTTGACATGACTTCTGTAGTCGCTAGCGCCTATAAAGGGTTGCGCGACGACGTGTCTGAACTGCCTTTATAAGCAAAAATTGTGGACACCGCTTCATCACAACTCAACGAGTGCACGCTCGTGAAGAATATGATAGCAGGGCTCGCTTCAGCAAATAGGTGTCAGCACAAATTCAGCACGTTACCGCACATTGGTACCATTACAAATGTAGCAGGTTACTGCAACTAGGTACATTGGGAACAGAGCATGTTGCTGCAATTATGCTCAACTGCAATAGGTGTCAATGCAGAAAAATTAGCAATGTACCAATAAATACCAATATAACAAGTATTCTATCTATATATATATATATATATATATATATATATATATATACCAATAAATCAATAATACCAATATACCCATTTCTGTCAAGTCGGTCAAAATTTGAGGTTGAAAGGGTACGCAGATGATTTAATATGATTCCACGCTGACTAGTATCACCGATGAGCAAACCCGATTGGGGGTATTGGCACAGTCCACGACTGAGACTACTAGAAGCCACACCTTGGAGCCAGGACAATAAATCTTGAAAACAGACGAACAAGTCAATCCATGCATGCCAATGTCACAGAGCACGATAAATAAGGTCCTATCTGATGGCGTCGGCCATGGCAGACGGCCATATAAGGCCCATGCCGCTGATCGCAAGCTTGCATTATGTTCGGCAGTGAAAGGCATTTGAGTGGGTCAAGACCCGTCTCCACCGGTCTGTCGGAGGCGGCCGCTACCCACCGCTGACGGCGTATGACAGTAGGAGACCAGCCGTACGTGACAACAAGCCGTCAGCCATACACACGATCACCACTTCTCGAGCAGAGCCACGCATGACCCAGCAGCTGTCAGTGGACCACACTACTGACAGCTGGTCGCCTGCCTCCGAGGCCGGCCGTTGCCATGTTGCGGCAGCGCGCGGCGGTCGTACCCTCACCGCCAGAGACAGGCTTACAGCCTGCTCGGCGCCGGGCCGGTGAGGACCAGCGCGCGCGGCGTCTGGCTCTGCGCAATCACAGCACTATGATTAATAGGCGGCCGCGGTCTGGCGGCCGTGATCAATGATGCGACGGCGGCTCTGCCGGCGGCACGCCCGGCACGGCACGCGGCCGTCCGGCTCGGGCCCGCGCCATGCACCATCCACGCCAGCCCCGCGCACGGAGCGTTACAATGCATGAACAGGCCTGAACTTGGCCGTCGCACCCGTGACGTCGGCAGAATTTGGAGGCTCGGGGATGGGCAAAATGGGCGTCGTGTCATCAATGGTCACCGAGCAGCTCCCATCCGCTACCCACTCGTTAGAATTTTATCGTAATTAAAATTATGATTGTGATAGCTATTCTATGTTGCAATTGCCGGCAGTGACATTTTTAGGGGCAACGTGAAATACTGATTGCATGCCGTAGGAGGCAACCGGACATCTACTCCAGGAATAAATCGTTAAGATAAACACCGATGGCGTCGAACGGGGTATCCGTGTGAGTGTTTGGCGTGCAATCAATAGCACTTGTCATGCTAGAAAGCCTGCCTTGCCAGCAGGCTTCCAGTGTGTCCCGAAGAACGCTCCGGAAAATGTTAAAAGTACCCATTGTTTCCCTTACATCTTGATGCTATGTTCACTCTGTCATTCAGCCTCTAGGAGCTCCGGTAAAAGCCGGAGTAAACCGCAAAAGATGCCCTCTCCTCCCACCGATGATGTTAACATCTACAGACATCCAAAATACAGAACAAATAAGTACGTGTAATTCAACGCGCTTTGAAAACCGCTGGCTAAGGGTGCGTCCGGCTATGATCGTTCTGAGATAGACGCAAGCCCTGCGAGTAGTCCCGGTGTTGCAGTTTACGGAGCTGCCGCACACCACTGCTGGTCTCTAACACCAGCTGACGCGCACCACTGCTGGTCTCTAACACCAGCTGCCGCGCACCACTGCTGGTCTCTAACACCAGCTGCCGCGCACCACTGCTGGTCTCTAACACCAGCTGCCGCGCACCACTGCTGGTCTCTAACACCAGCTGACGCGCACCACTGCTGGTCTCTAACACCAGCTGACGCGCACCACTGCTGGTCTCTAACACCAGCTGCCGCGCACCACTGCTGGTCTCTAACACCAGCTGCCGCGCACCACTGCTGGTCTCTAACACCAGCTGCAACGTCCGCAACGTTCCGAGGGTCGAAAATAACCGTTTTTTGCTATCTTTTTTACCCTTAAAAACTTCCACCGCCGGAGATGGCCACGTCCGAAGGAATGTCGCAGGCAGTTATCCACCCGATTCACCAATATTTTCCGTTTCCAGAGTACTGGCTGATGAACAACTCTACCTTGGGGGATTCTAAAGTCATTAGGAGTTAGTACGTCAAGACGCGAGCGTTTGGTAATTTTTCTGTGTGATGCAAAGAGGAAGATAACCATACAGCCTTCCTCAACAAGGTCTCGGAACCACGTTGTGCTTTTTCTTCAGGTGGTGGTCTATTTCGTGATTCACAAGTTCTCAAGATGAAATTCAAATGCTAAAAAAGCACTTCGCTATGGGCATCATGGCACCAACGACAGAAACATTCTTAAGAAACCGCTTGCATGCAAATTATGCACACTTCAGCTTTTACACTGCTGATAAGCTTTACAGCGCAGATTCACTTCTCGTGAACAATGCTCTTAACCGGCGGTTGACGCTGTTACCACGGCAAAGACGCACACAACTCTCAGAAACCATAGAAAAACTGCAAACTCAACTTTTGTAAACAGCGAGCAGCCACGCTCATGCACTGCATTTTAAGTGATCGCAGCAGACGTAGGGATGTTAAATCGTAAGCTGCTCTCCCTGACCAGGCTCCACTCAAGACGTTTATCTCCGTTCAGAGAAGGTTTATGTTGCTTGCTTAACGCCTCCTGATCCAATTACCTCCGCTTCCTTCAGTTCTTGCTGTTACCGTTGACGCGAGCCTGAGTGGGAGTCAGGTCCTTAAGGCAAGTCCAACCGTGCTCTGCGATGACGGTCGTTTTAAAAGTTGGTCTTTAAGTAACGTGGGTTTCCCTACAAGTAGTGGATGTACGCCTGCAATGCTAAGTAAATAAGTCGTTTGGAAGTTGAAAATGTGTGCAATTTGTAAGTGATCAGGTTTTGGGAGTGTTTATATCTGGTAAGAATCATGTTTGGTATAGAGAAACCATATCCACACTTGTTCTGCTGTTTAGACTTCATCTTGAAAACTTCTGAATCGCCCAATAATAAACCGATGTCTAAAAAGCCCATAGGATGGTTCGAAAGCTTGGGCATATTGCATGTTTATATTCTTAAAATCACGGATGAAAATCCCAATAGCATAGTATGTCGAGATTGCCTTGGGTGCAACACGTCATTTTTATCATCATCCAAGCTGATGTGTGACCATGTGATAGATGACCATGTAACCATCCAATCATGTGATCCAAATATTTGTGTTTTTGTTTGGTAAGAGTTCTATTCGGCAACCATATCAACACTTTCCTACTGTTTAGATTGAATCTTGGAAACTTTTGAATCGCCTAATAGTAAACCACGACCTAAAAAGAACCGACAGGATGGTCCGAAAGCTTATGGGGCATATCGCATGTTTTTGTTCTTAAAATCACACATAAAAATCCCAGTAGCATGGCATGTCAAGATCGCCTTGGGTACAACGCAGCTTTCTTACCATCATATAACCTGGTGTTCAATTCCAGAAATATCCAGATTACCTTTCGGGCAGCAGTTACAAAATCCGAGCGTGTGCCGAAAACTGTGACGGTAGCTTTTAGTCTTGCGGAGAGCCTCGGACAGCTCGCGCCACTGCCGGCCCCTGACACTGGATGCAGCAGTGGCGAGCCTCCGAAGGGCGGACATTGTCCGTGTTTTCCAGCCTGTCGCAGTCACTAACAGATGACGACGCCAGGCATGATCATTTGAAATGCAGTGCAGCTGGCAGCTGTCTACTATATCCGCCTATCTATTAAGTACGTCTCCGCAAGTTCCGATGAAACGCGACGTTACGAGCGGTAAACATCCCGTCATTGATATGAATTTTGGCAAGCGAAATAATCAAAATAAATTTAATAGCAGAACACGGATTTTATCACATGCTCAAAACGTTGGACAAGGGTGCACTTTTGTACTAACGGGGAATATGATTGAAGTTTCAGAAGACGCCGGCTCCAAACACATTGCGCCTCCTTGCGGGTCTAACGCCATTCTAACCACAGCCGTGCTTCCCAGGGCGCGCAGCGTCCGCTGTCCCTGATTCATCGTCATCCTTCGGTCCGTGTCCGCACAACTTGTTGCACGGTCAACTGACTTGTCGCCTCGACAATCCACGCATC